GAGTTAAAAGAAGAATTAAGACGATTAATAGAAACTGAATGGATTGAAGTGATTAAGACTAAACAACTAACATTCTATCTAATTAAATCTACAAATCCGATTAACCTCTAAAATAATATCCAAATAATAGAAAAATCTGTTAAACTATTAAAACCTATTAAAAGTAAAACCTACTTAAAATCCATTTATTATCTATTATATTCTAAAAAAATTAAAAAGTTATTAACAACTATTCTAGAAAGCTATTAAATCTATTAAAAGATCTATATTAATTCTTATTTAAAATCTAGAGAAACTATATTAAAATTTATATTAAACCTATGAAACCTATTAAATCCTAAAAGAAAAATCTATTAATTTCTATTTAAAAACCTATTAAAAGAAAAGTTCTATTAAACTATTATCTAAAAATGACTTAATATCTAAAAAAAAGTTTTATTCTAAAATCTATTTAAAAAACAATTTATAAATTCTAAAAAAGACTTAAAACTATTAAAAATACTAAAAGAAATCTATCTAAATTCTAGAAAATCTATAAAGCCTATTTAAAATCTACAAGAGGCTATTAAGCCCTAAAAAATGCAAACGAAGGCAAATAACCAACATAAAAGAGAGCGCGAGACCAGATCGAAACAAACGGTAACCCAGACACCAAAGAACTCAAAAATCACTGCATAAACTGAAAACACTCAGGAAGCGCGCGACTTCCCAAAATAACCTCCGATTACCCGAACCGGTCTGAGATACCCGAAAAGCGACAGCAGGGCTGTAATCCCGATAAAATCACCATGATTGAGGAAATGCGCTATATGCAGTATGTAAATGCGAATGCGAAATGCGTCGAAGCATAAACCGAAAGTGACACCGGTTGGTCAAATTTTAGGGTGCAACATGCAGCAAGTGTGCTTTCAGCGTGTAATTGTTCAGAGCAGAGTTTGAGATCAGATCCTCAGTATTGGCAGCGTAGTACTATCAGAGTCTTCTGAAATAAACTAAGCTTGAAATTCTTCATACAAAAAAATCTTCAATGCTTCAGATGCTTCTGGCTTCTGCTTCAGATCCTTCTATAGACAGCGCTCAGAATCTTCTGTAGGCAGCGTTCAGAATCTTCTAAGAGATACTTCTGACGCTTCAGAGCCTTGCATATTTTCATGTTCAGATCTAATTTGCTTTCAGAATAAGATTCACTTTTAATATCTGCAGCAAACATACTTAACCAAATTTTAGAGTATATAATTCTTTAATACAAAATTTCATAAGAGTTATCATCAAAATATAGAGATATTATTAAAAATCAATCTGTGTTCTAACAATTACTTCTTTTTTTAATTAGTAGTATTTTTATATAATTTTCTTTTACTTTTCCTATTAGCTTTCTTTTTTATAATTTTTTTTATTATATTCATTCAGTTTTGCTATTATTATTATTATTATTATTATTATTATTATTATTATTATTATTATTATTATTATTATTATTATTATTATTATTATTATTATTTAATATTTTAATATTTGTATTTTTTTAATAAAAGTAAAACTTGTATTTTCACATATTTTTGTGCATAACCTTCAACACATATAAATTCTTTTTTTTTTTAATCTTATTTTCATTAAGTAGTCTCATAACCAACATTGTGATTTTGTGAAATCAACAAACTCTAATTTTTGAAGACACAAAAATCTCTTGCAAACATAATTTATTTCATCTTTAATCTCTAGTTTAAATTCAGATCTTGATCATGAAGAATTGTAATTGTTGAGGGAAACTTGTCTTAAAACTAACATTTCTTGAAGGTTTGGTAAAGATTTTCAGGAAACTTCCAAGATTGTGGTTGTCGTGACTAGTGTTGACCAATTCCAGTGAAAAGAAGAAGGTTCTTCTATCTAGGTTATCCTTGGCAGTATTGTGTGGAAGCCTACATAAAAGTTCTTCTCAATCTTCGGACAATTCATCAATCAAGAAATCCGTGGGATCAAGAGTGATTTCTGCACATGAATACATGAAGCAGATTGGTGAAGTGAAAAGATTCAAGAAGCGAGAGTCGAGTAAAAATTTCATAGAGATCACTATAAAGACTTTGTACAAGTCAATATCTAGATAAGAGATTTATTTTTCTCAATATTATTATGGATTAATGATTGTACAAACTCGTGCAATATGTGTCAAAACATAATGGAAGAACAACTTTCAGTGGGAAATCATTGGAGAGTGGAGTAGACTCTTATGAGGATGATAAAGCCGAACCATTATACGTTTTAGTGTACACACACGCACACTCTCTCTCTCTCTCTCTCTCTCTCTCTCTCTCTCTCTCTCTTATATTTTAATTTTCGTAGGTTATTACATGTTTAGGTTTTCGTTTCTTAACGTAGTTTATAGTTAATTCTTGTTGGTAGCAATTTATTACGTAAGTGTATGTTTTGTTAGAATCAAAACCTATTGTGTTTTAGTGCTGATTAAATTCTGAGAATGATGGTATTAGAATCTTGTAGCAACTGTTATTTTGTAAATGACATGTCTCATGGGAATTACAAAGTGTCAATTCAATATAGCTTGAAACTTTTTGTATTATTATCTTTGAACAATCTTAGGATAATTGTGAATATAATTATATTTGTGATTCCTTCCAAAATAATCACAACATCTCTATTTTTGCAAATCGCTTTCTGCAACGCAAATTCTAATTTTTTATTTTGAAAACCGGTCAAATTTTTCTAAAAGGTCTATTCACTATCTCTAGACTGTTTATGTGCTCCATATTTTGCAACGTTCATTCACCTCAACTGACGTTTGGAGATTCTCCTCAACTCACGTTTGAGGGTTCACCTCATTGACACCTAGAGGTTTCCCCCATACCACACTTGAGGGACTCACCCTAAGTATGCCTGAGGGATTCATCCCAAGTATTCCTGAAGAGCTCGTCCCAAGTATGCCTAAGAGATTTCAAATGATATGAGATGATTAAACTAAATTACTTCACTTACAAGCCCTCGTGGTTGAGGGACCGTGTACTGGTATATTTGCAAATGACCCACGTGAGGTGGTACAAGAGTTCTCTAAGGAAAATGGTGCAATATGTCGCCCCAATAAACTTCCTAATCGCCAATTTATAAGAGCATGCCCCCATTATCTAGTTATGTCGTCTGTTGCCTATATCACTCGCTCACTTATAAAAACATGGGGAGTGGTGCGTCCATGCCTATTGGCGACACGAGAAAGGAACTAAAAGAAGAACGCCACGTCCTCCAGAATAATAAGGGAAGTAACTACCTAGAGAAAAGTGCGGCTGGTGCTTTCTTGGTTTCTAGATCCATACTCAAGAGACTCTTATAAATACCTCAGTGATACAGGTTAAAAGGACATTTAATTCACTCAACAAACACCAATATACAGAGCTTCTCACCATTCCCACATGAGTTTGCTTTAACACTACAACAACCATATAATCCTCAAATAACCCACTCAGTTAGGGTTTGTTGCTCAATGTACTTTTAGCAAATACAATTGTATTGTAGTTGAGTAGAAATTCAAGATGTGCTAAGGTTCAATGCAATGGAATAGAAACTCTGAGAATGCTTGAAAAATGATGGAATAAGAGTGTGCTCTAATTTGCTTTGGTCGACTCTGGTTTTGCCCAGTTTGCAGAAATAAAAAGGGAAGAGATAGAGAAAGTGCAAACATTCAAATAGAAGCGTCTAGATTCTAATGTCCATAAAAAATTCAGACATTGAACTCTAAAGTATTTTAAAATTTTGTGATTATGAGATTGAACATAAATATGACGTGTTGAGGCACATAAGAAGTTCAATCTCAATAACTAACAAATATAAATTTTAAAATTTGGATTTTTTAACTTTTATTTTGACGTATTTTAGAGAGAAGTCATTGTTTATTGTATATTAAGTAAGTTCAAATTTTAAAATTTAAAATTTACGACTCTTTTTGAAATTTTGCCACGAAATAATTCACGTGTGATTATCAAACATTCCCAATGAATTAAATCCAAACAAAAAAACCTTTAGTATATTTCATTTCTTACAACTCCATTTAGTCCATTAAATCAATACTACTACAACCGAAGCTTAAAATAATTCCCCTTTTTCTCTCACCTTGTTCTATACTTCTACTTATCGTTCTCCAAACTCCCACTCCTCAATTTTCGCAACTCTTCATCGATACATTTCATTTTACTCCAAACTGCCGCAAAAGACAAGTAAACCCTACAATCATTTCCTCCTCTTCCCTAATAATTGCGCCGCCCAAAAACGCCGCCGTACAGGACCGAATACCGCCTCGCACAACTCTCCGTGTCTCCCCGGTAAGTTCTATTCACCATCTCTCTTCTCGTTAACTTGTATGTCGAAAACGGAACCCTGTAGTCTTGACACTTAGATCCTAACGTTTTTCTTTCAATTTATGAAGTTGATGCGTAGTTTAGCTACTGTATAGTTGTGATAGTGGTTTGTCATGTTATCAATTTTATGGTTATACATCATATTCGAATTCATTCCTCTTTTTCATAAACCCTAGTCTTAGAAATTTTGGTGAAGCATGAAAGTATTTATGCATATCTAAGTAAACACGTTTCTTCTTTTCTCTTCTTCTCATAGTTTCAACCCTGTGAACTCACTATATGGTTCATTCATATTCTTCCTTTATCATCATAATTGATTTTAGGGCTTCTACAATAGGTACTTCAATTTATTGTTTTTCCCTTCATTTCTTATGCATAAATAAATTCACATTTCTGTTTAAATCATTGCAGTTTTTTGCTTTCAGGATGTTACACTTTTATTCATTATTTATTTTTTCCAACTCTTTTTGTTTGTGTACGATGATATTATGGTTCTTTTTAAAATTCTGATGTTTCACTATATAACATTTATTGTTATGAAATTATCTGTATTGAATGAAACATTATAAAATGTATAATTTATTTACTGTTGCAGCTTCTTTACTAGGTTGATTAACAGCTGCATCTTTTGGGCTAGAAATCATGAATAACATTGCTGGGAGACCACTTAATGAAGATGATGAGGAAGATGAAGTTAATGAGGATGGACTTGAAGCATGGGAGAGAGCTTATACAGAAGATAGATCATGGGAGTCTTTGCAGGAGGATGAATCTGGGCTTCTTCGTTCTATTGATACTACAACCATGCAACATGCTCAGTATCGTAGGCGCCTTCGCGCCCTTGCTTCAAATGCAGCTACTGCACGAATTCAGAAGGGTTTGATACGATACTTATACATTGTTGTTGACCTGTCCAAGGTATTGTTTTTATTACTTAACAGTTTATGTGTTTGTCTTTAAGTCATTTGTCTTGGACGATTGCATTGGTTACTTGAAAATTGAGGTACAATTGGAGGAGGGGTATGTTGGTACAATTCAGAGTTACAGTTAAATTTACTAGGTTTTCTTCCAATATATCATCTAAAATTTATTTTACACATGGTTTTAGATTTTTTTAAATCTTTTTTCCCTTATAAGTACATCTATACTTGTTCAATAAGCTAGCACTTAACAGCTGAAATTCAATACTTCACTAGCAACTTGAATATTCGCAGGCACTGATGTTTCACCCGAAGCAGCTCTTATGCCTGAAATTATATTACAATATTGTTTATGATCAGACAGTTAAAATTTAGAAGTATCTTATTCAATATTAATATTAATGTTATACTTATATGTCTTTTCAATTTCTTGCCTTGTAATATAACTGTATCTTACATCATGTGAAGGCAGCTTCAGAGAGGGACTTTCGACCTAGTAGAATGGCTGTGATTGCAAAGCAGGTGGAGACTTTTATCAGGGAGTTCTTTGATCAGAATCCACTTAGTCATGTTGGTTTGGTGACTACCAAAGACGGGGTTGCTAGCTGCTTGACAGATCTTGGTGGCAGTCCTGAGTCCCACATCAAAGCTTTGATGGGTAAACTAGAATGCTCAGGTGACGCCTCCCTACAAAATGCACTAGATCTTGTTCATAGCAATCTAAATCAAATCCCATCATATGGCCATCGAGAAGTTCTGATTTTATATTCGGCCCTCAGTACCTGTGATCCCGGTGATATCATGGAAACCATCCAGAAATGCAAAAAGGGAAAAATGAGATGCTCTGTCATTGGTCTCGCTGCTGAAATGTTTATATGCAAACATCTTTGCCAAGAAACTGGAGGAACATACTCCGTTGCACTGGATGAGGTTAGTTTGTTGGTTTTGATTGAACCTTGTAGCTACTGTACAAATACAAATTACTGCTCCTCTTTGAAAATTATTTGAGTTTTTATAATCCAACCATTTTCTGATTAAGTGCCAAGAATATTGCAGATCACCTAAGAACGTGTTTGCATTTTTCAAATGTTTGTGCAATCTCTTATCCATGTATACATCTCATGCAGTCCCACTTTAAAGAGTTAATTCTAGAGCATTGTCCACCACCTCCAGCAATAGCAGAATATGCTACAGCTAATTTGATTAAGATGGGTTTCCCACAAAGAGCAGCTGAGGGCTCTGTTGCAATTTGTGCATGTCACGAAGAGGCTAAGACAGAAGGGGGATACACTTGTCCAAGATGCAAAGTTCGTGTTTGTGAGCTTCCTACTGAATGCCGCATCTGTGGATTGACCCTTATTTCTTCACCTCATTTGGCAAGGTCATATCACCATCTCTTCCCTATAGTGCCGTTTGTGGAGATCTCTGCATCAATTCAAAATGATCCAAGCCACACGTTTCCCAACACTTGTTTTGGTTGTCAAGAAAGTCTTGTTAGTCAGGGTAAGCATCTGCAAACAATTTGTTGTTTGAGTATCTTCATAAGTTACATATATTTACATTTTTTGCTATGTAAAATTTTATGGTGTTGCATAATATGCTATGTCAAATATAGAGTCATTTCAAACTTTTTTAAGGGTGAATAATTTAAAGATAACAAACGGGTATATAATTTCCTAAAGTTATTCCTTGGAATTTTGTTTTAAATATTTTTTTGAAATTAGTAAATTGTTTGTGGGAGTAGTTTAATTTGTTTTTTTGTGCATCTTGATTTCTTATTAGATTTTGTGCTATCATGACCTGGCCTCACTTGTCGATGGCAGTCCATTGTGGAGAGCTAAAATCCCGCTTTACGGGCTGCGTAGTGGATCATGGCGGAAAAACCAATAATATCGGTCAATATTACATTTCGGCGAGCCTTAAAACCGTCATTGGTATCCGCCATTGCGCCATCACTGCTGATATTCGATAACACTGCCTGGCCACTGAAAGATTAGCAACATTCCAATTAAGAGATGGACTGTATTTCAATTTACTAGGGCATATACAGTCTTTTGATAAACATCCTTATTCCCTGTTAGTAATCACCCTGTGTAGTCATCTGTGAAGGAGACTGTTGTGACTCAAATACTTTTAATGGCAATCAAAGTTCAACTGCTGGGTCTGCAATATGCTGATGATATAGTGTCTTAATGCTAGTACCTTACCCTAAAAAATGCTAGTATCTTACAAGGATATTGAATTCTATCAACCTTGGTATCACGTGCATGTGATAGGGAATAATTTATGTGAGATATAAAAGCCTAAGCTTTCTTGTCAGCATGATGATGCATCTATGGCTTCAAAGCCAGGGTTGGTAAAGTTGGGCCACAAATTTTGAAGAAAAATAAACCACGGCTTCTTAAATTAACATGTGATCAACGGTACATTCTAATAACATGTGTCTGCATTAAGCATGTTAATCACAGTTTGCTAATAATTGAGTACCATGGGTATACGGCAGTCGAGTCTTTTTGTTAAGGATACAACACATGCTTTATGTGATTAGTGTTTTTTGCTACATAAGCCCATTGCTGAGAATCTTCAGCTGTATAGTTGATGATATACAATTCTGTGTTTTGTTGCATTGGAAATAGTATTTCATATAGATTATGTTTGTAATTTTGCTAAAAGTCCCTCCATTTGTGGAACAGGAAACAAGCCTGAACTTTCTGTCTATTGCCCAAAATGCAAACAACAATTCTGCTTTGATTGTGACATCTACATTCACGAGAGCTTACATAACTGCCCAGGCTGTGAGAGTTTCAGGCATTCTAAGTCAATTACTACTGCTCAATGATTGCCAATCCTCTCTGCTCATGACATTTAACTGCCATCTAAATGGTATTTTATACTGCCTCCCTGTTATTGTGATGTTGCATCCATCTACCGGACTATTGAACAGGTTCCAGTCCACGCAATGTGACCGGCTAACAGCATCCATTCACCTGATCAAAATGCAAGCTCTTAAGCAGTAATTGCTTTGCAGGCTGGAAAACATAAGTGATATTATTCATACAAGGCTGAGAGTTTTTCTTTTCTCATTTTATACCATATAACAAATTCTTATCCGTTTCCTTCTTTTGTTCTTTGCTGGATATTAACGTACATGTAAGGATATACTGTTTCATTCGACATTACATTACAGCATGGATGTCACCCTTGGCAGTTTTTAATCAATGGGCTGACAATAGCCATTATTGCTAGATGAATATTTTTATCATTAAATTTTCATTGCTAAATGTGTGCAATATTTTCATGCGTTTTGCTTTTACAATGGATGCTCCGAACTTCCAACTTCAGCTGACACATGTCATATCACAAGGTGGTCAATGAAAATTTGGTCTGTTAAATCCTTTCATGGAAAATTACTATAGTGCACATTACAAAGAAATTTACATTTTTATTTGATAACTTTCTGACCAATTAGCGTACTATAACTATTTAAGAATTTCTCAAGGATAATTTGAATGATGTCTATCTTCAATATTGATTATGAGTGAGCTGAGGTGCAACTCTGTTTCCTGTTTTCTTTTATGTTTTTGGTCTGAGTTTGTAAAACTTTATTTGGAAAAGAAGACGGTTTTCCATGTATATATTCAACAAAACCTAAATGTAGATTATCGTTTTGGTTGTTTGAAACTGAGTTAAAAAACATCAACAGCACAATGGGATCAATGTCATTGTTACAAGATGTGTTGCTAGGGTATTGGTTTAGTTATTTTTATATATAAAGTTTAGCTGAGTTGGATATCTGAGATTCATAAGGTCAGGGAAAGTTTCATGGCTCAAAAAATCTTGATGATAAAGGCAACTAATTAGTTCGGCTGATAAAAGCACGAAACATGCATAAACCATGTATTGGATACTCCTATATGCTAGCAATCATTTATTGGTGATTCGTCTAGCGTTTCTGGATCTGGTTGTTGCTCAAATTCTTTCTCTAGTAACATGACTATTAAGACAATTTTCCGTGCTTGTTCTCATAAGCCTGGGATGACTATATTAAGTAACCTCCGTGCTTGTTCTCATAAGCCTAGGATGGGTAACGGGTTGGTCTTTTTTAAAGTTTCAAAGTTTGTATTTCGTTAAGTATTAACCATTTGAAAGTTACTCTTTCCATCTTTACGAGTGTTCTTTCACTCTTGTGAAAAGTTAACTGTCTCTAATGTTCGAAGATGCATCTTTTATGCATACATTTTAGTACTTCGTAAATGAGACACCTTTATTTTACTTAAAAAGAATTGTTTTTGAAGATGCATTTCTGTAAGCTAAAATGTGTCAACTTTTGTCAATTTTTTTTTGAAAAAGTCGAACTATGAATTGCCGGAATCCTCTACTACGAATTTAAGGACTAATGAGGTAGCATCGTCATCTACTTCGAAAATTGTGGAGCTATAAGATATGATTGTGGAGCTATAAGATATGAACATGAAGGATGAAAGATTGGGTCCTGGGTGTAAAGGATTAGGCCATACAGATACTGTGGGACTAATTGTGATTAGTACAAGATCAAGGTATTTGACTGACTGGCTTGCTAATGCATTAATGAGTCTTCAACGTTCACATGATGAAAATATATTAAAATTTTTTTATGGCACCTTAGATGTTTCTAATGCATCATGTGAATTTTCACATATGTCCTCTGTTTTGGGAGATGCATCTCTGGACGCACCCCAACACACTCAACAAATACCATTCTGAATTATACCTTTTTTTTTGGTTTAATTTAATCTGGAGATGCTCTCCGGAATAATTCCGTAGTTACATCTTCAGAGACACACCAATATCAGATTCAACAGAAAAGTAAATTTTCAAAATAAAATTGACATTCATAACATAAAATAAGCATTATAAAGATGATTTCAACATAAAATGCAATATTACGTTTCAATATCCCGGTGGACGCTTGCACATCTTCAGAATATCTTCAACCGATCTATGTAGCATTGCTTCCAACCCGAGCAGAACTTTTGTTTCGAAACAGAAATACGTATTCCATATAGCCCTAACATCCGCTTGCGTCTTGAGCTCAAATTTGTTGAATTCAATCTTCCCCCGTTGTCAATTGACGATGAACGATACTTAAGCTTCACAATCTTTCGATTGTCTCAGTAAGGTAGGAAATGATGAATTTTGTCTTTAATATCTTTAAGGGAGGGAAATTCGGTGAGCTCGAACTTTCTCCCGGGTGTAGAGCCGTAGAAGGAGGCATTTGCAACACACCAACAAATGTTTATTTGACATTTGAGACATTTTTAGTTTGTGTAAAATATAACATTATAACACCTTAATTTATAGAAGTCATAGAGCAATTTAGACCACTCATTAATCGACATATTGATTCTAGAGATATATCTCCAAAAACACACCCTATTATCTTGTTCTGGAGATGCATATTCGAAACTTCTCATGAACCAATATAACACATAACCTTTTTTTGCTTCTTCATACAACCGTGTGTATAATTCTTTATACGTTTTCAACTATTGGATAAGTTGATGTCGGACAAGTGTATGACTATCTTCTCCTTTATTGAGTAATGCCAAAATGACATTGTAACTACCGTCCCCTACAACATTGACGATCCACTTGATATATTTGTGCATAAAAATCGGAATCTCATCGATGAATGGAATCTTTGGTGAAAGCGGCGTCGTAGGTGGTTCACTAATGCGAACTCCTTTCACAACACTTTTTTTTAAAGATTTTGGAGTTGGTGAGTCGGGAAAAACTTTGTCAACATGTTTAAAATATGAAGAAGATCGTGTAGCCGAGTTCTCATTCGGTGTAGGCTTCATTTTCTTTGGAGCACCTTTTGTTTTTACCAGTTGAGAAGGTGGTTTCATGTCGGTGATTTCCGGATATGCAATCTTCCTAAATTGTTCTTTGATGTGGAATTTCATGTTGTCACTAAACATCAAAAATCTCTCTTGTATCACTTCCCATTCGATCAAAATAGAGATATTTGATTTATCTTCATCCATGCATCCATCATCATCAAATCTAAGTCTCTTCCAATGAGTACAAACCTTGTCCTTTCTTATTGGTTCATCAAGTTTCATTTTTTAGCAATGACACAAGCACTTGGGAGATCACATGTTTTCACAATTGTGCATCCATACTTTGCGCTTACAATGCCTACATTATCATCTCGTTTAGCCTCATGAAAAATATAGTTCAAACCTGCCTGAGAAATGTTACCAACCAATTGAGAATATAAAGTTTTATCTTTAAATCTGTGTTCCAAAATTGTGATGCACTGACCAAATGTTGTTTGTATCTCATTATTCTGGTTCTGAATCTTGTGGTTCACAAAGTCCCAGACTCTACAAAAATCCATCTTACTATTTCCTAACCAATTTTTCAGAGTAGCATGGGCAGACTAAACTCTGTTAGTTGTTGTATTTCTAAGGTGTCTAACATTATCAGTCCATGCACAAACTATCTTCTCCTTCACCTGGTTAAGAATTGTGCTTTCAACATATTTTAACAAATCTGGATACTTTTCACACACTTTTCTGAAATGAATAACGAAATCGGCATATAGTTCTTTTGTGGAAGAATTTATTATACAATTCCATGTATCCATTATTTTTTTCACAACCACACCCGCCTTCACCAATTTTCCATCTTTAGGCTCTACTTGTTCTGTCCCTACTGCAGGTTACCTGACTTCTCACATTCTTTATTATGCGATACCTACAAAGTAATACATAAGAAGGAAATACCTTTGCAACCAAATTCATCAGTACGGTATCACAGTCGATAACAATCGCTTTAGGCATCTCACCCTGGACCTTCAACAGTGACCGACACACCTTTAGTGCCCAATTAAATTTGTCCTATTTTCACACTTAAGAGATGCAAAACCAACAAAATATGTCTTCTCAGTTGAGCTAACACCGTCCATCTCAAATAATGGAAGTCTATACTTGTTGGTCTTGTAGGTTGAATTAAGTACAAGCACCGTAGGAAACATGTTGAACAACTTTATGGAATCAGGATTAGTCCAAAAAATATCTCTAACAGTAACTCCACCATCGCATGTTCAGTACCTAGACACGTAACTGCTATCATTCAACAATTTCAAGAGTTGTTGTATCTTAGTTCTATCCCCCCTAAGCACCTTGTTAGTAGGGTATATAATATTATACTCCAGCTTGATATTTTATATATTGTCTGGTAGTTATCATTTCAATATTGGAAGTATATTTATGGTTGAACAAGATTCAAGGTCACGTCAGCAACACATTTCTTCTCTTCCGGCTTAAGTCGACAAATAGTAGGATGGCCGACTAATTTTAACACAAATCATGGTTATGAAAACCATATATCACATTAAATCTCCATTTTTTGTTTGCCAACATATAACCACGAACATTAAACGAACACTTACATTTTCTTGTACCAGTGTCGTCTCTTTTAAAATTCCTAAGAGAAGTTCAATATTTCTCGCTTCTTTCAAATTTCATTGTCACAAAGGCGCATCTCCTATCTGAACCATTATCGAACCTTCTAATAACCACACCAAATTCAAGTTTAGAGGCCTCCATACGAATCCATTCAAGCATTTGATATCGAGATTCAAACTCTTACTTGCTTTTAAAGTCATTGCCGACATCTACCACCTTCACAATAATACCTTGAACATTTAGAGAAACAACCACGCATTGGACATTCGAAGAAATAAATTGTTTCGGGAAAACATCGGGGTGCACCATATCTAATGAAAACATTAAAAAAATAACTGAACATAAGCACTACTACTGCTGCATAATGACTTCAAAAATGAACATA